CAAGAATAATTTCTTGAGATATATATATATATATAATGATATTTTTTTGAATTTAAAAAAAAAAGAAGAAAAAGAAAAACTATCATAGAGACAATTTAATATAATTTTTTTCAAAAAAATCAAATTCGGTAAATATTTTACATCCTTTAAGTCAATAAGCTTTTTGATGACATGTATTTCACCATATAAAATATTAGAATTTATGATGCAGGACAAGTAATAATGGATTATTTTTAATGATAGAGAGAAAATAAAAAAAAATTGGATAAATTTACTGTGGTTCAAATAGCAAACTCCTAAGATTTATTACTAATCTCACGCCACACACACACACACACACAAAATTTTAATTCATTTTTAATTTATTAATTATAATATTTATTTTACTCTATTTTTTTACGTTAAAAAAGATAATATTCTTGACTCGGATTTGAGAATAATAATTTTTAATGTCATTATTGATTAATAGACTTTAATCTCATGAGTTTTTAAGATCTTCAATCCATCTTTATTCGATGATAATGAATTTGCACTCTATTTGTTTTCCTTTTTTCAACTTTTGATAAATTCAAAACATCTCTAGACTAATAAATAAAATTTATTGAAATAATATATAGACTAAAATTCTGCTGCATTAATAATTTCTGAGAATTAATGTGAAATAAAAAATAAAAAATATTGATTTATTGGAAAACTTGTCTTTGTCTTCATCGTTTCATCCCTCCCGTCAATCCAGAAACTGCTTCGGCCGGGACGTGCCAATCCTTTTCATCCCACCGATGCGTCTCTAACTGTGCTGCATGCAGCGGGAGAGCAATGGACTCGGAAAGACTTTACGAAACCTAACTCGTAGAGCTGCCAAACCCTACCTTGGATGAACTAAAGCTGAAAGTTGAAAGCTGAAAGCTTCCTTCTCCCCCACTGCAAACGCAACGCTGCACAGTGCGTTCACGCGATCAATTTGCGCTACAAATCAAATGCGACGACTCGAGGGTTGGCGTCTACTCGACTGCCATCAACAGCATCATCTCTTTTCTTGGTGGGATCATTGCAGGTGTCGCAGTTGGAAGGATCTAATAATATTGTCTGGCGGGTAGTGCGATGAGGGGATCCCACAGTCCCATCATTTCTAAACCATTCGGAGGCCGTGCAGCAGCAGCGGATGGGAACCCCAAGTTGGGAAACATAATTCCACTTCTTCAGACAAGAACCAAACCTCCCCCACTTGCCTCTTCCCATTTGATCCTTCTTTTTCCATTTCTTTTCGGCTGTGTACAAACACGACTATTAGTGATGATTATTAGACACGCACAGCAACTTCAAAGTGGCTGCTGAATGAATGGAGGAGGGAGTATGTGCTCCATCATGATGCCCAAAAGGGAACACAGGCCATGTGAAGATTGTGCATGCGTGTGGGGCTTCTCATGACCCATTTGTTGGACTTGACTACTGCCGACGTATTTATCTTCACAAGGCAACCATATGTATAAAGATCTTCTGTGAGCTGGACCCAGGCAGGTCTTCCCACTTTGTGAGGCAGAAAAGGCTTCTTATACCGGGCAGAGCGGGGACAGCACCGGTGGCATCATACTGCCATGTCTCTTCTTCATCTTCTTCTTCTACTTCTTTTTTCTTTCTCAAGGTTTTGCAAGTGCATGCATGCACGGCCATGCATGTGGCTGAAGTTGAACTTTGGTAAAAGGGGAGTTTGTAGCCACGCTTAGGCCAACAATGAGCTTGAAAGGTGACAGTAGACTACAGAATGGCTAGCTACGAAAAGCCTCTCGTAGGTATCTGATTACCTAACAAGAAGCTTTGAGAGAATGCGTGCTCTCGTATCGGTCGTCCGTGATTAGACTACTTTGCCTCTGCTTCGATGCCTTCATGCATGTAGAGTTTTGATTCCTAACCAAACACCACTGTAAGTGCAGAAGGAGGTGACACGATGATGTCAGTCTACATCGCTTTGCAGGCCTTCGTGGATTCAAAAGGTTTCGAGTCCTGAAACCACTGCTGCATTCCTGCTTATATTTGTATCCTCTTCAAGTTGGAATGATGCTTTCCACCCCACTTTAGCTCATTTTATAGGGCACATGCTTCTTTCTGACATTGATTAGGATAGTACAGATAGGACATGGGAGGAGAAGTGTCCTCTATCTCCCATCGCCTTCCAATAGCACGGCACACCTGTGCAGTTCAGCAATGTCTTGGGGAACTGGTCTCATGGTCTTCTGAAAAAGCCTGAGATGTAGGAAAATGTTGACCGTGGACAAGATTACCGAAGCAACGAGATGACATGCCTTTGAAACTTCCGTTCATGGAAAAATAGTTCAATCCGTCGTCGAGATCAATGACTTTGACGGAACCGATCATTTGCGTGAGATTTACGCAGTAACTTAACTAGTAGTTTTGTTCCTTTCCTGATTGCACGAGTCAGGTGGGCCGGCATGAACAATGATTAGGGTTGCAGATGATGTCGTCAGCCACAGCAGAATCCAAATCTCTGCAGTCGTCTTTAGCTGGACTCGGTCAACCATATGTGTGATCCACCGACTGTGTGATAATAAGGATGATGCAGCCAAAGAAAATGATTTGTCGTATTGACATCCTCCAACATATGTAGTTATACGGTCATATATGTGTGTGTACGTATGTGTGGCGCATCTTTGCATGCAAGTCTCTCTCCTTACGTTTTGAGGATGTCACAGTCGGGTGATACGTGACGTCCGGACGCTGACAGATACTGAAATCCTAATACGGTGACAATATATCACCAAATCTGACAAACTAGAACCATGCACGACATGGCGGCGAATTGTTTAGACAACAGTATCGAAAGCTTCTCCATTCGGATTACACCGACACTGTTGCCCTATTCGTTCCGTAAAGGAGACGGAGTTCCTGCTGACATTTGTATGCGCTTTGGTGTCTTGAGCAGTGATTTTGTCACACTAGTCAGCAACAAAATGGCAAAAAACCAGTCGCGATTAGGTGCGAGATCGACTCAGAAGCATTTCTACAAGCATGTTGTCTTTATATGTGAAAGGAGGAGCTGATGATGCTGAATACCACCAGAGGGAACAGAAGTCATAAATACGCAGACCATCTCAAGTCCACCAGCGAAGCATATCAACACCGTCGCGGCAAAGCACATGATATGTATAGCAGAATATAAGATAAGATCTTATATTCTGATCAATGTTCAAGCACCAAGAGGAAGTCATCTTTCGACGTGCGCAAGGAAGAAGAATTCACAGATCTAATCAATGCTAGCTGGAGCTGTAATAAAACAAAGCTCGTAATGCATCTCTTATAAATCTGATATGTCAGAATATATGCATGCTGCACTAAATGTGTCAGATACCACCAATTATCTGATGCAGGTCAAGTGCAATCTCTCCAGTAGCCAACGACTGTTGCAAAACCTCTGCTTCGTTGTACAGTATTGTTAGGTGTAACCACTGGACTATGTTGTAGGTGTTGACTAAAATGAACTTTTAGATATGAGTTGAACAAAGGCATATGCTTTAGAAGCACGTAGACATGCAACAAGTACATGCGTCGCCTTCATCAGTAAGAAGTTACAGTGGCCTACACCGTCCTATATATAGTTTTGGAAATCGAACACCTTGACGAAAAAGGAAGAAAGTTGTGAGTAGCAGTTGTGTTGATCTTTATCTGCAACCACAACTCACAGTGGAGAGGAAACAGATGAGAGCTGAAACTGTCAGTGGCAAGGACACCATGTCGGCTATCTAAATCTTTTTACCGAGAAGATCTATTGTCAATGTTTGCTGATGTTACGTCACGGATCTGTAGCTTACTTACCCAACCAACCATCAGCTCCACCGATGACCAAAGGAAGGACAAAGTTGGGGGATCATGACAGCAACAAGAAGCTGGCTTTGTCAACCTTTCCCCATGCTTTCCCCGCTTCCACCAGGCAAAACTCAATTACTCGATCACTACGCTGTCACCCACAGGCCATCCATATCCATAAAATCATCCTGATTCGAGGGCCAGGATCCTCCCACTGTGACACCTTGAATTTGGTATGCACTTGCAGATCACGCCTCTCTCTTGGTCGGCGGTGCTATCTTCCCTCTCGGACTGCGACAGGCCTCACAAAAGGCAAACGCTACTGGTGTTGTGAGCTCCTGACGCCATTAATTGCACGCGTTTGTGGTGTCTAAGATATCGGACGACATCATGTTTGTGGACCGTTGGATTTGTATTCACCAACTGCTGCCCATTAAAGTACGTAGATCAATATAATCTCATGTTTACGAGTAAACTATTGAGAGGGAGTGAGAGCCGTTTGCTTCTGGCGGACATGTCTGCCAACCCTACACTGCCTAAATCACGCAATGCATAGTTAACTACGTGTGACATGACCTCTCTACCGTATGCTCTCACATTATTTGGAAAGACTTGTTTGAGCTATTGTGTGATCTTTCCAAAGACGTACGTAGAACAGAGCGCCATGGATGCAGATGGTATATATTATACTCTTCTATAAATGGTGATCGATTTTGATTCCCACCACTTGATTGTGATCCGTGCACATGAAACAGCCTACACGTGCTATGTCTCTGCATGATATCGTAGACGATTAAGCAGTGAACATTCTTTGCATGTTGGTCACCGTAAGGAGATTGCCTAGGAAAAAGGGAATTTAAATTGTCAGAAACTTCAATGGCTGTGCTTCTTCTTCTCTCTTTCTTGTTCTTGATTGAATGTTGAAGAATCAAGACACTGTTGAGACATCTCTTGCTATAGCGTCCTCACCTCTATTGATACTGCTGTGTTATGTACGCGGCTGGAGCTTGGAGCTCCCTCCGGCGATCACTTGCCGCAGCGTTCGTTCTGCGAGCTTGCAGCAAAATGTTCCTCGCATCCACGGCGTCCCGCGCGAGGCCTACCCGGCACCGCGATTGGAAGCGGTGACGTCTCCTCCCGGGGGGACCCGCCAGTCATGATCGCCGGTCACAGGGAGGGCAGGCGAGGCGTTTAATGAAGACGAAGTCCAGGAAACAGGCGATGGAGGCCCACCGCAGCACGGTTCGTCCAGGCTGTGGCTGACACAGCCCAAGTACAAGCTCGAGCGTGCCACCGTACGCGTGCACCACCACCCACGGAAACGACTCCAACCTTCCTCCGTATCGAAAAAGAAATTCCGGTCAGAAAGGAAGAAGAAGAAGGAGGAGGAGAAATCTTAAAGAAACGAAGGGAAAGCTTCATCATACTCTACGCACACTCCTCTCCTTCCCCACTCGGTTCTACCTTTTGGGCTGTACTTTGTTCCATTGTAATAACAACATCATTATTGTTATTACTATCACTGTTGTCACACAGTCATAGAGCAGGCTAATGGGATCGTCGCGGCAGCCGTACGCACATGCCATCTCTCTCTCCCTCCCTCTGACACGATATATATGCCTTCGATTTCCCAAATAGTGGACTCTAACGAGTAATCCTGTTGAAAGTTGCATCGCCATATTATGTGTGATATATATCAGAAGAATAATACCTATCCCGTGACACGTAGATTACGTGATCGTGTAAAGATCTATTGTATATCTCGATGGATCTTTGGCTTTGTAGAGACATGTGAAGGATGACAGTGACCTCCTTTTTGAGAGTTGGATGCATGTGGTTTTCCGACTTTAAGAAACAAAGCATTGGTGTTAATGGTAGGAAGGCTAACGAAGAGGAGGAGGAGGAGGGGGTAGGATGAGCCTCAGCCCCACGATACGGATGCGTGGAGAAGGCACCCGAGATGGTAAGTTGGCCACGGAAGGGCGCAGCGCAGGGAGGAGTCGTCGCGCCAGGTTGACATTGGTTGGGTAACTGCGGAATTAACGTGCGCCGTTCCTTTTTGGTGAGACGAGAAAAATAAGAGATTTATTGCGTCAGTTTGGGCTGGATTGAATGCCGGTGTAAACGGGGTGGGAACAGGAAAGGAAACTATTCGGGCAAAATAGGTAACAGTTGTCTCCCTGTCCTTTGTCAAGTAAATGGCCACTGATTGAGCCGTGTCAGATTGATGGCCCAAAAATTTATGGCTACCTTCTTGGCTTGCAGGTTGTCAGATTGATGGCCAACATGAACCATATACGATGGGGCATGTGGCTCACCCTGTTTGCACTAGCGAGCAGGCTTGGTCGGTCTAATTTGGGCCTGCAACTCTCTCAGTTCGGTCTGGAGCCTGCTGCTCGCTCCTCTTGGTGTTGATCTTGTCTATCTGATGATGCACGCAGAGTGCATGCAGTATGGAGAAGAAGAAACATAATGCTAATAATACTGGACTTCCCAAGTGGAGTCGGATTGAAAGGATCCTCTCTCGTGAAATTATCTGCAGCGTGTGTGTGTATCTGTTTCCTGGAGAAGGAAGCTATGTGTGGAAGAAGAAGCTTGGCAAAGTTGGGGAGTGGGGAGGTATTAAAGGAGCAAGGGAAAGAGAAAGATGGAAACGGCTAATTTAATCCCGAGAATTGACCCCTCCCTCAGTCCCCGCCAGCTCTATTAATACACCCATACTGGAAACGCAAGCAATGAGCCGACCCCAACCCCCCTCCCCCCCTCCGCCCCCTCCTCCCGTCCGCACTCTCACGAAACAGAGCAGAGCAGCACAGCAACTGAGATAGACAACAACCCTCCAACTCCTCCTCTTGCCTTCGTTTTCGTAACGACAGAACTCTCTTCACTTCTTCCTTGCCTTCTCCCTCCCATTCCATGAGAGACGGCCGCAAGTTGAGCTTGTCAAAGCTACAAGCGTAAAGAAGAAGAAGAAACCCCATCGGAGGCTTGGGAATTCCGGTAGCTGTCGCCCACGCCATGTGCAACACGAACACCACGACCGCCGCCTCCGCCCCCATGGCGTCCCCCGACGACAAGAACCCCTTGCTATCTCCCGGCCATATCTATCTCACGCTCCTTCCACTCCCCAAAGCATCTGGGCTTGGTGATAAAGCCCAGGCTTTGAAGTCATTTGCATCTCAGCCAGCACAAAAGCCGTCCATCGCCGCTCCCGCCTCCCCGAACCAGCAGTTGCTGCTTCGCTTGCCATCGCCGTCGGAGACGTTGAAGGAGGCCGGCTCCCTCTTCCGCCTCTCCTTCCCCATTGCGCTGACGGCGCTGCTCCTCTACTCACGCTCCGTCCTCTCCATGCTCTTCCTCGGTTCCCTCGGCGACCTCCCCCTCGCCGCCGGCTCGCTCGCCATCGCCTTCGCCAACATCACCGGCTACTCCGTGCTTTCCGGGCTGTCCCTCGGCATGGAGCCCCTCTGCTCCCAGGCCTTCGGCGCTAACCAGCCCCGCCTCCTCTCGCTAACCCTTTACCGCACCGTACTCTTCCTCCTCTGTTCCTCCCTGCCCATCGCTCTGCTCTGGCTTTACATGTCCAGAATCCTCCTCTTCCTCGGCCAGGACCCCGACATCACCGCCCTCGCCCAGACCTTCCTCCTTTTCTCCCTCCCGGACCTCCTCTCCTTCTCCCTCATCCACCCCATCCGGATCTACCTCCGCTCCCAGGGCGTCACGCGGCCGCTCACCGCCGCCGCCGCCTTCGCCGCCGCCCTCCATCTCCCTGCCAACTACCTCCTCGTCATCCGCCTCCACCTTGGCGCGCCTGGCGTTGCTGCTGCTGCCGCGGCCTCCAACCTCGCCCTCCTCCTCTGCCTCCTTCCCCACGTGCCCCGCGGGCCCACCGCAGAGTGCCTCGGTGGGTGGGGCCCACTCGCTCGCCTGGCCGCCCCCAGTTGCGCCTCCGTCTGCCTCGAATGGTGGTGGTATGAGCTCATGATCCTCCTCTGCGGCCTCCTCCCGGACCCCAGGCCCGCCGTCGCCTCCATGGGCGTCCTCATCCAGACAACCGCCCTCGTCTACGTCTTCCCCTCGTCGCTCGGCATCGGCGTCTCCACGCGCGTCGGCAACGAGCTTGGCGCCAACCGTCCGTCTCGGGCCCGGGTTTCGGCTGCCGTCTCCGTTCTCCTGGCCGCCGTTATGGGCCTCGCCGCCATGGTATTCGCCGCTGGCGTGAGGGAGCGCTGGGGACGGATGTTCACCCACGACAGCGAGATCCTGCGGATGACAGCGGCGGCGCTGCCAGTCGTCGGCCTGTGCGAGCTCGGCAACTGCCCGCAGACCGTGGGCTGCGGCGTGCTCCGCGGCAGCGCGAGGCCCGCCCGCGCAGCCCACGTCAACCTCGGAGCGTTCTACCTCGTCGGGACGCCCGTCGCAGTCGGCCTTGGCTTCTGGCTCGGGTTGGGCTTCGTCGGGCTCTGGATGGGCCTCCTCGCGGCCCAAGTCTGCTGCGCGGGACTCATGCTGCACGCGGTGGGGACTACCGACTGGGAGGCGCAGGCCCGGCGGGCTCAGGTGCTGACGTGCACCGGCCTGCCGCCGCCCGAGTCGGCGGCCGTGACGGTGGTGAAGGTTGAAGGGGAAGAGGAAGCGGCGAAGCTGGTGGAGAAGGAGGGCTCCAAAGGCGTGATCTGCTGCTACGAGCCTCTGGTTTCGATTAAGGTGTGTGATGTCGAAAGGTGATACTGATCGTGAATGGTAATATTAATCGGTAATTGCAATGCAGTGTGTGGAGACAAACTGATGGATTCAAGCATCTAAAGCTCTAACTTCAGAAATCGAAGAGAAGAACAGATCCTTTTTTTTCCCGGATATCTTCTTTTATATATATATATATATATCTCAACGAGAAGTTTTGTCATGATTTTTATTCAATGGACTTTGTACTATTAAATTTGATTTGATTTGGTCTGGGGATAATGTGGGTGAGATATATGTATAATATCATGTTCTTAGATTTCCTGTCATTATGAACAATGCAGCTTATTGCATGATGAAAAGAGAGTGTAGTAATCCTCAATGGCCTCTTATTACGTGTGGTAGCAAAGTGCAACACCATTCATTACATGGCACTTTTGCATGACATCTCGAGATCCATCCATGTATATCCCGTGAGTAGATTGAGGTGGTGATGTATTAAGATATTTCAAAGACAGTTGAGTTACTGGTTTGCCCTAAATGGCAGGCATTCTAAAAGGTAGAAGGAGAGTAGTGCGTGCAGGAAAAAGAAGCCCTTCTTCTCCGCTGAGAGTAACGTGAGCCTCAATTATGTTGGTAAGTAACGAGGGATTACGGGGGGGGGGGGGGGGGGATGGTCCAGGCAAACGAGGCTGTTGTTGGAGGAGCACCATCGACTGTTTGCCATTGGAGTGTTGGAGAAGCAAAGGTTCAGTTGGCCGGGCCAATAGCAACTCAGGAACATGTACTCTTGTCTTCTCCACTTTGGTAGGTGAATGAATGTTAGCGGCAGCCATGATGATACTCTCATTTGATCATAAATGTTGTTGATGCAGTGGTTAGGAACTGGAAGCGTGCATGCACGGGCCTTTTTACCAGATGCTACAGCAGCAACCGTGAGCGTTCTGGTTGCACGCTGAGAAGGAGTGAGTGAAGAACAACAACAAGAACAACAACAACGGGGTAGGAGGGAACAGGAGGTCCCGTGTCTGGTGCCAGGAGACGGGTTGTACTGATGTGGTGGATGCAGGGGAGGGGGTGCGAGGACATTGAATGGGGCACAAAGGTGTGGGTTGCTGCTTGTGTACTACGGGAGGGAAGAAGAAGCTCGCACGTCTATTTATGGAAGGGGATGGCTGCTTTCGGCCTGGCAAGGGACAAGAACAGTGATGGGAGCAGTTAGGACTGCCTTCGTCTTCCCCCCCCCCTCCTTTGTGACCTTCGATGCAGTCCAATAATTCTTTTACTTCGGAGTTTCACTTTCGAGTTCATTTCGTGTTGAGATATCGAAAAAGGTGAAGATTCAACTCACAAAGAAAACTATTGTCAGAAAATAAAAAAGAGTATTTAGCTGCATTGTGTGTTAGTGTTGTTGAGAACATATTGCTAATTTTTATAGTACGATAGATGATAATAATATTGAGAATAGTCATTCATGTTGGGAGAAGAAAAAAAATTGAAAGAAGAAAGGGATTGATTATATGATTGATTGGGTCTCTAATAAACAGTTTCAAAATTGAAAAATGATCACAAAAAATTTTGTCTTCTACTATATTTCTAAATCAAATAGCTTGGGATGCATATGTTATTGCTGCTTTTATAATGTATATTTCTAAATCAAATAGTTGATGTTGCCACAATGGACTGTTTTTTTATATGATCATAAAATTATTCTAGATCTTAAGAAGAAAAATATAACATCACTATTAGTAAATCCAATCAAATAAAAAAAAAATTCTATTATAAAAAATTATCAACATCATGAGTTCCATTTAAATAATGTAGGATTTAAATTTGTTGCATGGAGATGAACTTGTGTTGGATTCTCCATATATAATATCTAGTTTGGTTGCAATCAAGTACATAAGATTCTCTATTATATATATCTATAAAAAAAGTACTATCAATTTTCTTAGCATAATTGAGTTTCAAACCTGTTTGAACTGAGACATTTCTAGAAAATAAAAATTTTTTACATCTTGTTGTTCAATTTTAATTCCAAGATAATATTTCATCAAACTCGAGTCAATCATATTAATTTTTTTTTCATAAAAGATTGAAACTCATGAATCATATCAGTATCATTACTAATATAAATAATATCCTTCACAAACAATTAATATTCTCCTTTCCTTTTCATATAAGCAAATAAGGTATGTTGATAGTTACATTTTTCATATTGTGTCTCAAAATATGCATCAATATGGTACTTCCTTTAAACTAAATAATATCTTTTTTTAATCTATATACCTTATTTTTAAATATTTTAATTATGAATTCAAGAGGTTGATTAACATAAAATTCTTCTTTAACTCATCATGTAAAAAAACTTATTTAATATCTAATTGATAAGTTGACCAATTATTTTGAACCCTAAGAGAAACTACCAACCTCATTGTTTCTTATCTACCCATTGATTGACGCAAACATCTCATTATAATCAATCTATTTCTTCTTTTTGTAGCTTTTTACAACTAACCTGACTTTGTATTATTCAAAAATGTCATCTTGTCTTAATTTTATTCTATAGATCTATTTTACACTAATAGATTTTTGCTTTGGAGGTAAATCAACTAATTTATATCCTCTTGCATTGCTTTTGATTACTTTCCATCAAGTTACATCTAAGTGACTGGATCACTATATATAAAAAGGTAAAGTGAATTGAGATATTTTTGGTCTCCAAAATCATAGAGATTAACAGTGTAATCTTTCATCCATCCTAGGTATTTTTTAATTTTTTTAGTATAATCATATATGATGATAAGACTATTTAGTCTCACATTGATTGAGGAGTATGAGAACCAAGGACTTATGAGTCCATCGGGTCTCTTTTACTCTCAAAATTACCTTTTGAAGTTCACATGCTTCGAAAAGGAAAAAATCATACTAATTCCTCGTAAGCCTACTCTCATAAGCTTATGAGCCGCATCAATGATTGACGACCAAATTGTTCCTTATTAGATATTAAATTTGTAAATCTTTCAATTCTCAACCCAAAAATATCCACAAAAAAAAAAATCTTAGGCAATAATTTGGTTTTGAATGTACTTTTAAACTTTGTTCCCTATTGTTTTATTCTTTCTTTTTACAATATTATTCTGTTGTGAAGTACATACTATAATCAATTTTCTCTCTCTATAGTGCTATTTTTCTTTCTAACAGGTCAATTTTCTCTACCTAAGAGGATCTAATCAGGCTTTAATACCCTGTTAGGAGAAAAAAAAAATTGAAAGAAATCAAAACTTAGGAGAGAAGAAAAACAAACAAAAATTATTCACATAACCCTTATCGATTGAGCAGCACCTCCTCTTCTAGGCAACGAGGGTAGCATGAACGTTACTTCTTTCGCAATCTTTCTCTCTCCCCCTCTCTTTGGTTTTTTGGATTGCTGTGATTTGGGTGAGATCATCCCAATAAAAATTTGTTGCGACTTGAGAACAAAGCAACGGATAATGTTGCGCGGTAGCGAGCCAAACGCAGTCATCCTATATTAAGAAGATAGCTATTTTCCCTGTTGTTTGTATACTGATTGGGTACATAAGAAAGATGTCGACTTTTCTATACCTGAACAGCGGCCCTGCCGCGACACATTAGTAGTGTCTTGTCTAGTCGTTGCTTGGCCCTTTCCTCTTTCTGATACGCCTCTTTCGACGTGCTATGATGTCTTTCTGTCTTATGAGACCCCTAAGGCTAGGCACCCACATCTATAATCTATATAAATGACACTCCGACCTGCCCCGTAATGTTACTCTCTTATCTAACCTTATTCTAATTTAAATTTAAATTATATTATCTAATAATTCAGTCATCAATAAATTATGTAATTATGTATCCTAAGGATTATAGAGTAATAACTTATCTGACTCAATTTTCTTATCAGCATTGCATTGCATGGCCAAATAAAAACTTATTAATTTTCTTATCATCATTTATGGTCAAATCAAATCAATATACTCGTTGACTATGCTATTGAGCTCATAGGTGTTGATTTGATGAAAATAATATATTAATCATATGGCAATGATGTATCGATGATGATTATGTGTCGTATCTATGTAGTGGATTCTAATTCTTGTCATGCCATTTTTAGAGCTGATAAATTACTTTTTCTATTTTTACCCTTATTGAATAAAAAAAGATGAAAGAGAAAGAAGAGAGAGAAAGAGCTTCCACTTGCCCCTTGGATGATAATGACATGGCATCTGTAATGGGTCCTTAAGATTGAAGAATTGATGGATAATCTAATTCATTGAACCTACCCAGTGAACGATTAGAAAAGAAAATATTTTTATTTTTTTCAACACAAAATATAAATTTGATAAATTATTATCCATTACTCTTTTGATTCAATGGATTTTCATTAGTTATTAATTACTGAAATTAGTTATATATCGAGGGTTTTACTAACCACTCAATTTTTTAAGAAAACATATGTCATCATATTTTTGAAGCTTTAGTTTATAGATGCGATATGATCTATATATCTTTAAGCAATTGATCCGATAAAACAAATTGAAAGAAAAAAATATCTTTCAATGTACTATTTATACAGTTAAAAATCTCATCGGATATGAAAGAAAAGGATCGCATGATCTTAAATCGATGTTATCTCAAATTTATCAATGAAAAGTTGATATATTTTTATTAGTTTTTATAATTAATTTCTTTCGCGCATTGGAACTCATTATTTGTATTTTTTTAACACTCTCGATCGCTATTTATAAGTATTAGATGACTCAACTCAACATATTAATAATAGATATTTTTATATTACTTAATATCTTTAATACATTAGATATTTTACTCCCAACTTAAGTTTTAGGAATTTATAATCACCCAATTAAAATCCCGACAATATCACAGCATGTTGGTGAATCACGAGGCAAGTGGTTCCCGTGCAACAAGCGACACACCTAAATCTTGATGGTGGCATACTTTTAAGACCCCACCAGCACTGTCACGTGGCAAATACATGCACCTGTAAGAGTTGGTGTGCACAGGTGCCATGTCCATCCAATTCAACCCTCCAAAGAGCATGTCAGTGCCAAGTCACATACCACTGGACGAGAACAGGGAATTGACACACCCATGGAGCTCAGCTAGCTTACCTGTTCCTGCCCACTGTGGTCCTTGTCATCTTCTTTGACACGAGAAGAAGAAGAAGAAGAAGCACCATTACGTAGCATAACAACAAGGAATCCTCTGACCATTTCTCTTGTGGTAGGTCACATTTGTACCGGTGGACTGAGGTGAGGTGCATTTGGTCCTGACAATTAGACTGAGGTAGATGACACCGTATTCTGAGCTTTTGAGAAGCTTATTTAACTTAGTTTTCTTCACTAAGTACTCTCTTAACACATGAATGATCATTGTGTACGAAATACTCATCATCATCTTTATTTTAGTTGATTATTTCTTATTTTTTTTATATTATAAAGGGATCAAAAGGGTTTAGATTAGCACGAATGATTTTGTTAAGGGTCTCCTTTTATATAAGAAATCATTTGATCGATCGATCAGATGTGATTGTAGATTTACGAGGAATTATTAATTTTGGACGATAAACGTAACTCAGTAATTTTATCCTTTCGAAACTCATAAGTTTCAAAAACTAAGAGTAAGAAAGATCCAATAAACTTATGAACCATTTATTCTCGTACAATTTAACTACTATGAGATTAAATAATTTTATCATAAATAATTATTTATGATAATTAGTTACATGCACCATCTCTCCTCGACCATTAATGCATCTCACATGCAGGTACCTTAATGCACTTGCTTGTTGTCTTTGTACGGTCGCTCTTCATGGTGCTTTTGATTGGTCCGAGTTTTCTCCCCTACTTTGGCCTCGGTCAAGCCACAGCCTTTGAACTGTTCACCAAGTCTGCAACGAAAGAGATGGAACAACACATAAAGTATGGTTAAAGTAGGCAGCAATAAAAGAGGAGAAATCATGGTGTATGTTTGCTCGAATTGGTAAAACCATGTCTCCCCCACACATGGTAATGTGCTCTCATGTCCTCTCATCGAGCTCATGTACTGAGAGCTCCTCCCTCCATGCATGACGGCTGCTTCCTCCTAGGTTGACTTACGGGGGGCCAGGCCACTGCCAATGCTTGCATGGGTTTGGTTGCATGTTCGAGAGCAAAAGTACCAAATCCTCATCATGTCTCGACATGACTAAAGCCAAATACCAAGTTTTGCTGCTCTACTTCAAATCTGTACCACATGTGAGGACAGAGCATCGACGACTCACAGATTTGTATCTTGTTGCTGTGAGTTAATGTAGACGAGGACTGTGGAGTCCTCATCTACATTTACCTGGTCTTGGCCCACAGGCCAGGGGTAAGTCGTTTCCCTGTTGTCTTCCCCGTAGCCGGTTCTTCCTGATCTATATTAATTGGAGGAGAAAACCTACGCCATTTTTGTCACTTGACTGATGTGACAAGCTCGAAAAGTAGCATTCGGGTTGCTTGTTGGAATGCCTGCACGAGGCTGATGATATGTTCTCCAATGTGACCAACAAACCCATTCCAAATCGGGTGCGACATGGCGTTGCACGACGCCCGCCCAGGAGAGGGACTGGCGAGCCGAAAGTGAACCAGTTCAACAGCATCAAACTGTGATGCTCGAGAGAGTGATATCCGAAGGTGACCTCAAAGTTTGGCGTGTGAGTTAAGGAAGCAACGACAAGAAAAGACGTTCTGAAGGTTGTCTGCATTGCGTGTGTGTATATATATATATATATACATACATATAGATAGACCCATCAGTTCCGATCCAAAGGTAGTGAGTGGCTTTGGACCAGGCTGTATCTTTGAGACGGCCCTTTGCGATGGCCTGGTCCAAAACAATTATAACAACAATGATAGTGAGTCGAGAGGCCCAGTTCTGTTGACTCCAAAGATGGGAGGCTAAACCCTTTTAACAGTATGACTTGGAGAGCCACTAAGAGTTAATCAAACCTACTTTTGCAACTTTAGATAGCTGGAGGTCCATTATATCCATCCCTTTGGGAGAGATACTGATGGTCCATGGTGTACTCGGTAAACTTGGTTCACAAGCCACAGGAGGACAGGACCACCCATCTCATGGCGATAAGTTGGAGTTGCCTCCACAAATTAAGGGCGCTTTCCCATTGGGTTTCAGGTCATTGGCTGTGCGCGGCATGTGTAGGGGTGTAAAGCTTTCGGCAAGCGACAACGACACACAAAGCGAGGGAATCTGGTCGAGCGAGTTCCAGGAGCGATCGGAGGAGTCGCTCCTCCTCAGGGCGAGAGCATGTCCGCCGACCGCATCAGCCACGCGCGCCCGTCGTCACTGTTCTAGCCACATGGTCGAGGCGCACAAGAGACAAGGAATCACACGTCGAGGGCGTCGGGCGACGATGACGCAGATGGCGCCGCTAATTGTAGCGGAAGGCGAAGCAGGTGAGGTGCCTCCAGAGCAGCCTCGTCCTTGCGAGCGACTCCTAAAGTTTTTGGCGCATGTGTTGGCCGTGTCACTGCTTGCTGTCACCACAGCGACAATCTAACATACACCTTGGTCCCCAAGTTCCATAGGTTGGCATGGGTTCTGTGAAGCGGGGTACAAACGGGCCGTGCAATGGCTTCAGTTAGGCCAACAAGTTATCCGCAGATTTATTTTGTTGGGCCCGCATAAACCCACAGCTCAGTCCGCCCCCAATGCTTCCAAACATGAGCACATATCTACAGTTGGTAGCCAATGGAAGAAGAGCCTTTATGTTTAATTGGGCCCCCATATATATACACATATACATGGCCCGGCCCATGTCAGTTAAGGACCTAAACTACCAGCTTAAAACATTATTATGCCTCCTTGATCGGCGATGTATGTTCAAAGAAAAGTCAGCATAAGCAGATTTCAGCCAGTATATGTTCGACATCGAATGGTCTGACATAAAAAATGTCTCGAAGCTGTCGACTATATATCTTGTTGATCAGCCACATTGGATCATGATACTTAAATATGTGCCATGCAGGCAACTCTGAGAGATCAAGGTTCTACGAAGCTCAACAGTAACATTAGATAATAAACAGAGACTACCATTCGTATGACAATAGAAATAGTTACAAAGAACTGACATGGAGAGAATTCTAGTGAGAAGGATGAATTATGACGATATTGCAAATAAACTCGATTATTTCCTTTAAGATGGATGTTTACCATAAGTGCTGAGGTCGGCATGCGTGTCTTTGTATCTTTGGAGCAGGTATGCTGAACAAGTCACTGCAGGGAACCTGATTGAGAGAGCAAATCAGTAAAACCATGCAATTTAAAGGTGATTAAGGTCCGTAAGGATGCTTTCTCTAAGGTCAAAGAACGAGCACAAGGAACATGACATGTCGGAGTTGTTTTAAACTCTCTATTGTGATTTAGATCCACAAAATCTTGATCTGTTACTGCAGTCAAATGATACTCTAATTCATGTAAGACTAGCATAGAACTTACTTTGGCGGATTTGTCTCGGACTTGCAAGTTGGCAAACACTCAACCAGACACTCATGGCTTGGCTCCACAAAGTAAGCAATCTGATCAAATATATAGAGACAATTTAGCAGTGTCCAAATTCAGTGCAAGTTCAGAATTCAATGCTCAATTCAATTAAGTCCAAGATCCTAATCATATCTGTTAGAGCCAAAATGATAAATCCAACATGACCTAAGAACGGCACTTGCCATCAATGATAAACCAGTATTACAGCCACCTAACAATGTGATGGTTCTTGCCATGTTTTGGTTGGATCTATATAAAGTTGGGACTAAGTTCATGTAAAACTTGAGACAAATGAATGAATGAAAAGGTGGAGGACAAGAGTGTCAATTTACTCTAAAAAATATAGATACCACAATTGGGATCAAAGTTTGCATTGATCAAACTTGATACAACTTGTGCACAACGAAAGAAGACATTATTATGTTAAATGTGTGATAGCCGACTATAAATATAGGTTAATGCGGAACAACCTGATGCCACTTAATATCTTGATTTGCATAAACATAATTTTTTGACATATCACATTCTCCTATATCATGCATTTGGGATGAAACCACAGGCTAACAATTTCATATCTTTGCTAAGGCAATTTTATATATTTTTTGACATATCACATTCTCCTATAACAATTGTTTGCTAAGGCTAACAATTAGAGAGGACGGTCGATTATCTAGCATTGAAGATAAGAAGTTGCAACCCTACAGCCGATGTTCATACTGTAATATGTAAGAACAATACAACTTACGGAATAGCGCTCTCTTCCATCCAGAACTACTCTGTGGATCGTGGACCTACATCCAAGCAAAAAATTAATGTTGCTTTCAATGGAGAGACTGGTTCTGAACTAGTCAAGACATCAATGCACAATTTCCTCGATATGACATGGACAAAAGCAAAATTTACTCGATTTTGCAACAAATACTTCAGTCTCCTTTTCCAATCCACAATACAGATCTACAAGGCATCTATAAAAGGAAGACAACAATAACAAGAAAGACAAACAATATAATAGAACAAGAACAACAAGCAGTAACAACAATTGCAATATTATTGAGGTCCTAAAATAAGGAAAAGTAAAAGGTAGAAATGAGGGTATTTATTTTACAAGCAACATATGACATTAGTTAAGGCTTCAATTCACAAAGGTCAAGGATAAAAACAATTTTCTGGTTGCAGACAATCAAGATAACCTGTTTTAAATTGGTTACCAACCACATTATGTAAATGCAAGTGATTCCATACTGGTACATTATGCTTCTTGATAAGATATAGGAATACCTGAAAATGCAATTACTCCAACGTTCCAGCATGTCACCAAGATTAACTATGAAGCCTCTGAAGAAAGCACAAACAGTGTTGGAATTATGTCTCTCTTTCCACTAAATCAAGACTGTGATGTGAAAGACAAACAGAACATTCACTACAACCTTACAGTATATATGGTTCAAAAACAAACAAGGTAACTGAAAAATATTTTCAGTTGCATGAATTGACATATAACTCAAACTAACTAGATATGGTGATAAACACTAAACATATATTAAAGCGAAACCATATGTTGTAATGAGTTGCCATAAGAAAACCTATACTTAAGGTATAGCATCTCTATCCTTGCATATTAAAAGCCGATTGATGAAAACTAACCCCTTCACTGGTGCCACATATTCCCATACTTGAGGTTTAGCATCTCTATCCTTGCATATCTGCATCATAATTGAAAAATGAATATCCACCTCAATGATGGTAAACTGAGATTAAACAAGAGGATTAATCAATCTATAGTGTCAAGCTTTGAACTCACTTGTAGCCCTGCTACATCATCCGTTGCCAGCAGAGTGATCAAACCATAATCAGAATGTGCTCCAGCTCCAAATACACCTTTATCAGGATTTGAAACTTTACCTGATAATTATAAAAGATATTCATCATGGCATGCATGCATCACGATAAACTTCATAATAATAAGACTCTAAGGTATGACCTGTAAATTGGTTTGCACCTTCATAGTGTAGGAGTCGCAACGTTGCAATAGCCTCTCCAAGCATTTCTGGCTTATCAAAGAAGCCGGCATCCAAGTCAAGTGCAAGTGCTATAATTCTAGCAACTGCTCTGGCGACTCTCCTAAAAGTGAAGGAATAGGTCAAGATAACAAGGATAGCATGTTCACTTCACAACTAAAAGCACAATGTTCATATTTAAAGTATCATTTTCAGTAAATTTTTGAGCTTCAACTATACCTGCATACCAATTTCAAGAAGAAAAAACTCTTGAACAGCAACTGCACTTCTAGCAAGTTGCTGTTTCAGTGTTTTTACAAGAAGAAAAGAGAGCAAAAATGCAATACTGTAGTCAAATCTAGGTGGACCACCGTGCACATGTAAAACCAAAGGCATCAACCTCATGCACATACTCTCACGAGTTGGAAATAATGATTTAAAATCACATGAGATCTCATCCATACCAGTCAGTAAACAATGCACCAAACATGGATCGGTATGTGGTCTGCACAACCAGTCAGCAGCCAATGAGCCTGCATGTTCCAAGTTTTTTTATCCTTTTCCTCAAACTTATGGTTAATTCGACTGCAGCTGTGTCAAGCCAGTTCAAGTCATATCGAACTGGTTCAAGTATTGAACTGATCCAGGTTCAAATCGATTTAATAGCCTACGCATACAATGCAATTCAAGTAGCAACTAACTACAAAGGCAGAGAAAGGAGAGAAAGAATTAGAGCGTAGGTATGTTGTGCATACTTCTGTAGAACCCCTAACTTTAGTCCTAAATCGAAAGTGGTAAAGATCTTAATTGGATTGTAAGAGCCTGATGGACATGCTACTATTAACTTGTACTTCAGCATTCTAGACCAATCAACTCACGGTAAATAGTATCAAAGCCGACCTAGTATTGGGCATGTTGAGAGGCTCAAGTAAGAAAGATAAACACCGGACAAGGTTAGACAACACGCCACAACATGAAGCAACTGTTGGGCTAGGTTTCACATACACCATGTAAGAGTTTGATTCTCGGCTAAGTAGGGGAGATTGTAACACCTCCAAGCCTATTCTCTCATCCAAAGTGGATAATAATCTGAATTAAATTATAAGGGCTTCATGGACGTACTATCATAATTTGGACTCAAAACATTTTAATTAGTAGTTTAGCTCAATATACCACCAATATACCGGTACCGCATAGGACCAACTTGATGCACAGGATACACTCTAGTATTCACTCTCATATAAATGAAATGCATAGCATAATATAAAATCACTAGTTTTGTCATGTTCTTAGAGTGTCACATTAAAGAATGGTTTATTGGATGAAACATGATAATTGAAAGACATGAAGGCTGTGATGATTTATTACAGTCCCTAGAAAACAGTATCTGTTGCCTGTATGTTGTATAGTAAAAGCTCTTGCATAGTCTTGAATTCTAAGATATTGCGAATGAAATACTGAGGCTCTTCTTTCGTAGGAAACATATTTAAAATGTCATAATAAAAAGCATAGAAGAATGATATTGTGATCATGTGGGATTGAACAGAAGTACTTAGCACTTACAATGCCTCCTTATGATATCGCTCCATGGTTTCCCTCCATCTCGGTAAAATATCTTCAGAAAGAAAACAGAAAATCAGATTGAAAATTTCAGATTCAATATAACTAGTGAATGCAACTCTCACTATTCAAAATTGATTCCGTCAATAAAAAATAACTTCAAAAGAGTGAATTGCCAAGTGACTAAGTTGCTTCTATGTAGAACAGGAAAAGATTACAGATGGCATAAGGAAAACTGAGCATGTTAATGCCCCATGTATTTGGCTTCTGTACAGATACTTGAATAGCCAAAGGAACTTAGACAAGATCTGAGCTTATGATTGACAAAGCTTTGTCAAGCCCAGTGAACTCTCTTAACTTCTAGTTCATTTGTCATACCAAGCAATAAAGTTATAAAGATTCAAAGATAGTATCAGCAAAAAATTTGAAACAAATACACAAGAGTCATTATAAACTTTATAAAATATTAGAAGATGACAGTGTCAAAATGTAATGTCTAACTTTTTCTTCAATCTCTACTTTCATGATCTGATCAAATTCCAGGGGATAGGAAGCACACCAGCAATTTACCTGCAGATGGCCACAGATTTGGTCCATAAAATGGTTTTTCTGCTTGTGGATCATCTTCATGTACTTCAACGCCAATATAATATCCCTCTTTATAATCACCTAGAAAACAGTAAGCACAGATTTTTTTTAAAAAATATGCTTATTAAAAATGAAGCAGATTAAGAAGAAGCATTTATTAAAATTCCGACTTCAACTGCAAAGATGTTTGTAGATTGTGAAGACAGTTAAGGGCTTATTGCCATAGACTGTAAGACCAAGGTTAAACTAATTGATTAATTGATTGAACTTCAATTTTCCAGTCCAGATTCTACATTCTATTTTATATCATTAATTGAATTACAAAGAGGCTAGCCAAAAAAGAGTTTACAAGTTTTCACTACTATGCTACAGGTTTACAACAACAGCAAAGCCGCAGAGTGCCCAACTATTATGTTGCAAGTCTGAATAACCAAAATTTTTTAAGTACAAGGTCCATAACAATACCTTTTGGTAGATGTCAAGTGACCTTAAAAATTTGATAGGTTCATGGTTGAGCCAACGTGAGACAATTTTCACAAAGTCTCACTATTCACAGTTTTAATGTTAACGATGAAACCTTAAAACACAGAAATATCTTGATTTAGATTATTCTAAAGCAAAAAGCACAACAAAAGGCTGTAGTCAGGACCATGACAGGCAGGGATTGATCTATGACCAATGCAACAAGTGGCTACAAAAGCGCTTCGATGAACTTAATGAACATTAAGCCAATATTTCGTTCAATTAATTAGCTTCCTAACATGTTTTCAAAAATAAAAATGGAATAGGTCTGCTTTTATCTAAAATAAGGTAAAGGAAGAAAAAGCCATGAATCGGTATACTTTCTATATAATGATTTGTTAAATAGTACTGAAATGCATACATCATATCAAGGTTCATTGTACCTGGTGTACTGTTCGGTATGGATGGTATGTACCGGTTCGACAAGGGACTAGTACGGAGCGTACATTAATACACCCCCATATACCGTGTGTAGGTACGCTCAGTATGACTCAGTACAGCTCGGTATGTACCGTACCGATAGTTGGTTGGTACACCGGTACACACCGATAAGGTGAACCATATATCATAGTTTATGTATATTTACAAGAAAAAATTGGTGGTGAACATAAAAAGATGAATATCAGATTAGGAAACTTCTAGGTTAATCTAAAACTAATTCAAACTCTCTCAAAGTCAATGTTAGCAAATAATATTAAAGATATATAGCATTAGGTAGACATAGATAATAAATATGTTATATAATTTTAAAATATAGCAAGAAGAATAAAAACATTTTTAAGAGATGGAAGAGATATGTTAACTTTGTATCATCTTTGATGAGGGGAAGAACAATAGATGATTCCCTAGAGGTCAGAAAACTAGTATGAAGTCTCTCCAGCATGATCAAGGCAAAATAATACAGAATATCTGAGACATTGCCCTTAACAGTACTAAATGGCCAGGAAGTATCCAAATAGTAGAATTTGAATAGTTTCGTAAGAAGTGTTTGTTTCTTAGAAATTGAAAGATAATCCATCGTATTAAATTAGCTTGCATAAAAACAACTTGGATCTTCGCCTATTAACCATTGGATTGAATCCACAGCCAGGTGACATTTAAGATGTTCTGGTACTCTAATTGCATAAGTTATAATCAGGCCTTGTCTCTGATTAATGTATGTGATATTCATGCATGTGATTTGATATAAAAGCATACATGTACAATTAATTAATTTTATTTTTGTTATTTACTAACCTTGTCATTTCAACATACACACACAATAATAACTTTGTCCGGTTCAAATAAGCAGTTTGATTCTAAAACATGTTGTTTTTCAACAATCAAATATCTATTTGAAATTAAACCAATTTCAAACATTAGTATAGTGAACATCATTTTCTTACAACTTCCTAGAACAATTCTCATTCTAGACAATGAAATATAGCACTTTGCAATCTCTCAATTATTACTGAAAAGCATACTCAAACATAACTTGCAATCCAAATTATAGCTAAAGATCATCTTTAATCCAAACAGTCAAATACCAAACAAGATATCAAATGCCAACCTTTAAAAATACATCCAAACGCAACTGAAAAATTAGGCTACCAAAATATTGATTCAAAAGATAGCAGATATTAACTCTAAGATATTAAATAAGCTAAAATAAAAAAGAACAGTGCCAATATAACATGTTTAAGAACAAGAGGCAAAAGAGAAAAGAACTAAACACCGACCATTTATCTGATGATCTGGGTCCAGAGTCTCATCTAGAATAGGTGTATAACCTCGATGTTTCTCATTTCTAAGCAGCTTCATTTTATCATCTATTGGCAGATCAAAAAATTTCTTGCTTTGGGCAAAAACTTCATCCATAAACTCTTGGCTAATTCCATGGTCGATGACATAAAAAAACCCAGAATCTAGGCATGCCTGACAACCAATTAACAAAGGAGAGTAGAATTAGAAAACTAGCCTTTGAGCATCAGAAGGAAAGGAGAAAGGAAAAAGAGGAAAGTACATAGAGGTGTACAACATTTATCATGCCAAAAAAAATCATAGATGAATTTACAGTTGGAGTTCATCGCCAGTATCTTCCTATATATCATATCATAAAGCTAATGATGTCATGATAACAATAATTTTATTGCCAAATGTCACAATAATGTCGCATTTACTTCACAGAATTTGATCACTAAAACTGAAATATGAATGAACAATTCTGACTCCTATCATTTGATTGGGAAACAAGGAGGGGGGGACAAATTCCCCCCGTGAAGAGTTCTGAAATCCTGCTATTGGGGTAGGATTTTAATCAAATTATTTAACAAAAGAGCTTTGAAATAGAAAAATATTTTTTGTTCTGCCACAAATATTCTGCATCAAAAAATTGAATAATAATATTTTTATTTTTCAAATGAAAACCAAACTCATGTAATCTTTGACCACAAGTAGGGAACGAGATTCCCTCAAGTAAGTTTAATCCCACAAAAGTTAGTGGAGGGGCAACATCTACTACAACGGTGAAGAAATGCACAACTTGCGCAAGATGGGGATTGAAACCCTAACAACTTCTCACTTGCGAGGGATGGTCTATCAATCAAGACAAGGGACGGTGTCCAGACTCGAGTTCGGCTTGATTTTGAGCCAGGCTAAATTTGGGGTCCATGCTAACACGTAAGAAGCCAAAATTGATCATTCATCTAAGCAGCATACCATTATTTCACGCCAACCTCGACCATACTTGGCTCCATTACAACCTTAATCGAGACCATTAAAGAGAGGGAACAAAAACCGATACACATCGAAAGAAGAAAGTTATATTAAGGAATCGAATGAATCGAGGAACGGCAGAACTGCCTTCAATATCTGCAAATAAACTACAAAAACTCAAAATGAATAGAATTATAAGATGCTTGATCAGAAAGGAACGAAGAAAAAATTGAATCATCTTGGAGCAAGCCGGTATAAGAAAGAAGAAAATTCTGATCCGACGAATCAAAAGATTCCATTTTTATCGAAAACTACGGAATCAAGAACGGATTGGGGCCCTAAAACTAGTCGAACTCGAAACCCAAACCAGGGGGAGAGTCGGTGCAATCAAGCGGAAACGGGCAATCGAAGTGGGGAAGGGGATCAAAAGCGCACCTGCTTGAGAAGCGTAACGGATTTGTTGATATCAGGCTCCGAAAGACTGATGCAATCGAGCGACGTGGTGTGGGAGGCCGGTGCACAACTCGCCATTTCACCCGAAGCTTCTTCCGACAAATCTGCCCTGCTCTTGTTCTTCTTTCCTCTGCCCTCCCCTCCGACCGCAGCCTCTGCAATATATAGTGACGGGAGGGTCGATCACTGTCTCCGACACGCATCCACATAAAATTAGCCCAGCAAAGTCACCTCAACATTATTACGGTAATAAGGATAATAATATAAATAATCGTGTGGAGGTAATAAGTCTTCTTTTATGTCTTTTTCCACAAAAACAATAAATATATTAGAAAAAGATTGATAATTTAAAATATTATCCAATAAATTTAATATTCAAAAATTCGATTTAGTTATAACATATTAGAATCACTTATTAAAGATTAATAACTTAAAATACTAAGATCAAGAAGTATAACAAAATAATATTGAACCAAATTTTACACTTACAACATCAGATCCACTCATATTTAATATCTCACGTGATCACTTACATATTTACAACATTAATTTTGAATGTATCAATTAGCTTAATTAATTCGGGTTATGGGGTTAAGAGCGTAGTGACTTGAGAGCAGATTTGGACCGTTTGATATTGTGATATGAGATCGTTAAATCAAAGTCAAAATAAATGATGAGAATGGTTATGCGCATCGATCAACCATCGATTACAAAACCAAATCATGGATTAGAGTGATGTGTGATTCGTTAGATGGTGATGCACGCAGTGTGGACCGAAGTTGACCGGATTCAACGGTCCATGCACTCGTCAATGGACAAAGGCACGATGTATTTGTGTGGAAGAGGAACAATGCGAAGTATGCGCGTGATCTTTTGCTCGATAGGGATCTATGAACAAAGGCACAAATCATGATGAAGCGCATCGGCACCTTCACAGAGAAGGGTGAAAGCAGCGTGTCAATAAAGAAGAAAAGGGGTCAAAAAGGAGAGAGAAAGGCATCACGGAATCAAAGTTCCTTTTTCCTTTAATTAAGAGGGAACGACGGTTCAAATTGAACTCATACGCCATCATCATCGCTGCCACATTTTATTGACCATACCTTCTTTTATTTAGTGGAGCGTGTGAGGAACGCATTTTTTAAGAAAAAAATTATATTTTTGAGTTATTTCTTAAAAGGAACTTATTCTTTTTATTTTTTTTAATAATTATTTTTTATTTAAAATACTAAAATACCTCTCAAAAAATTTTGTACAATTTTTCTACCCATTTTAAATTAATTTTTTATAATCGTTATTATTAAATATTTTTATTTAATAATACTATAATCGTTCTCATTAAGTTCATCATTCATTATAATCAATTTCTTCATTTATTATGATTTAAATATTTTAATTTTTCATTCTAAATATAATTATTATTATTAAATATTTAATATCATTAAGATTCTTCATTATGGTTCAAACATTATAAATTTGAATTAATTCTTATGAGTTGGTGATAATAAATGTTCTTGATGAGAGAACATCTATATAAACGATGATTTTAGTCTTTGAGCTCAACATCTCTTTGAAGTCAAAAGAATTTTCTACATCATCTAAAGCAAGAGTCCTGAGCCGAGAAATGTCAAAGTTCAAGAAGAAACTACTATAGAAATTCTTGACAACAATGGTTGGAGGTATGCTATTTTGTTTCTGTATTAGTTTTATTGTATTACTATTATAATGATTTAGAAACACGAGTTGGTATCAAAGATTTCTACTAGTTTGTATCAAATTGACATTTGCTTTGACGAAGGAGTTTTCATTTTTTATACTATGAATATGGTTTTATTTTGGTTTCTTTTTTAAACTTCTTGATATATTTCATATTAAAAATTATGATGATATAACATTTTCAATATTTTTTTTGGTAAAATGCTCATATTTTGTATGCATATTTGGTTATATTGATTTACGCTTATAAGTTAATTTTATATGTCTAAAATATCTAGTGATCCATATAATCTTAATTAATTAAGAATTAGTCACAGCATCCTTAATTAATTAAAATTATATATAAAGTTAAAATAAGGATCACATAAGTAATTAGACATGAGATTCATATTTTTTTGGCATATTTCACATTAGTAAAACATGTAATTTAGACTATTAAGTCTCAAATTTTGATATAAACATGTTTGATTTTATGTAGTTTCTTAAACTATCAATTTTTTTGATATTCGATGTGATATTCCCGAACTTAGTGGTGATAACTATAAGATATGGAAAGATAGAGTTCTCCTCCATTTAGGGTGGATGGATATTGATTATGCTATTAGGAAAGACAAACCACTTATAGTTACTAATACTAGCACTCCAACTGAGGTCGCGTTATATGAGCGATGGGAGCGATCCAATCGGCTCAAAGTGATGTTTATCAAAACTAAGATAACTGCTGGTATACGTGGTTCTATTGACCAGCATGAAAAAGTCTGAGACTTACTACAAGCTATTGATGAGCAATTCATCACTTCGAAAAAGACACTAGCAAGTACCCTAGTAATGGAATTTTTATCCCTTAGACTCACTAATATAAAAGGTGTGCATGAGCATATAATGCAAATGCGAGATATTGCGACTTAACGTAAGAAACTCGAGGTTAATATGTCAGAATCTTTTCTAGTGCACTATATTCTGAACACCCTTCTATATCAATACGAATCTTTTAAGATTTCATATAATACACATAAGGATAAATGATCAATCAATAAATTAATGATCATGTGTGTTCAAGAAGAAGTGAGGGTAGTGATGGAACTAGGTGATAGTGCATTAGTAGTAACCACTCGCGGGAAGAACAAAACCGACAAAAATCAAGCCAATCAGAATGCTCATCAACAGGGAAAAGGTAAAATACCACATCAAGCTGATATCAAGAAAGAAGCAAGGTATTTATTTTGTAAAAGAAAGGGACACATAAAGAAGGAATGCACAAAATTTCAACAATGGCTTGAAAAGAAAGGTAAACCAACCTCGTTTGTGTGTTATGAATCTAATATAGTTAATATTAATATTAACACATGATGGATTGACTCTGAATCAACAATCCATATTACAAGCTCTTTGCAGGATATGCAAAATTTAAGGAAGCCAGTGGGAAGTGAGCAAAGCAACTTATCAAGAAATAAGATGGGCTCACATATGGAGGCAATTGGAACATGCATTTTAACTTTAAGTAGTGGTTTTGTTTTAAAATTGGGAATGACCTTTTATGTACCAAGTTTCTAACGAAACTTAATTTCTATTTCTAGACATATACCATTTCTGTATTCCTTTAATTTTAAAAATATATCATTTCATTTATTATATAAATCTGATTGTGTTGGGAAAGGTATTTTATATGATGGTCTTTACTGTATTTTATTACAAAATAATAATACTCAAAGTTCAATGCATGTTCACGTTGGTACTAAAAGATATAATATTAATGAGGACTCCTTTATATTATGACATCGGAGATTATGACATATCTCCATAGAAATTAAGAGATTAGTTAATAATGTGATACTTAATACTCTTGATTATACTAATTTTAAGACCTGTGTAGACTGTCTTAAAAGAAAGCAGACCAATAAGTTCAAAAAGGGTATTAATAGGAGTTCACACATATTAGATATCATTCATACTGATATATGTTATCCAAACATGGACATACATGATTAGAAATAATTCATCTCCTTTATAGATGATTACTCATGATATATGTATATATATTTGCTTCATAACAAAAATGAAGTATTGAATGTCTTCAAAGTCTTTAAGGCTGAAGTTGAGAATCAATGTGGTAAGCAAATTAAAATTGTGAGATCAGATAGGGTAGAGAATATTATGATAGATATACTGAAAATGGACAAGCACCTGGTCCTTTAGCTAAGTTTCTTCAAGAACATGGGATTGTTGCCCAATACACTATGCCTTGTTCTTTAGATCAGAATGGTGTTACAGAAAGAAGAAACCGAACATTATTAGACATGGTGCAGAGTATTCTTAGCAACTTCAATCTTTGTAAGTTCTTGTGAACTGAAGCACTAAAGACGGTTGTGTATATATTAAATAGAGTTCCAACCAAGGCTGTCCAAAAGATACTATTTGAATTATGGAAAGGTTGGAAACCAAGTTTGCAACATATGTGCGTTTGGGGATGTCTGTCTGAAATTAGGATATATAATCCACAAGAGAAGAAACTGGACCCGAGGACTATTAGTGGGCATTTCATTGCATATGCCGAAAAGTCCAAAGGTTGTAGGTTTTATTGTTCATCTCAGATAACTAGGATTGTGGAATCAAGAAATGTTAAATTTCTTGAGGATGACGTAATTAGTGGGAGCTATCATTTCAGGAACATAGTTTCTGCACATGATCATATAGAATCTCAACCTTTCACATCAAATGATAGATTGGTTATAGTTCATAGCACTCCTTAAGTACAAACTAGTGTTGGACAATCAATCATTGAAATTTCATAAGTTACTGATAGAACTCTAATAGATCAAGCAGTTCAGGAATTACAGCAAGCTCCTGAACAACTAGTTGAACCATAAGTTCCTTAGGGAAACATTGGTACAACATTAAGAAGATCTACTAGAAATAAAAGATTAGCAATTCATAGTGATTATGTTGTATATCTATAAGAATCTAACCATAATATTGAAGCAAAAAATGATCCTAAAATATTTTCACAAACAAAGAATCAAATTTGTGGCATGATGCCATGAAAGAATAGATAAATTCTATGATGAGCAATAGAGTATGAGATCTTATAGAGTTGCCTAATGAAACAAAGGCTATTGGTTGCAAACGGGTCTTTAAAACTAAGAAAGATTCGTTAAGCAATATTGAGAGATGCAAGGCAAGACTTTTTACAAAGGGAGTTACTCAAAAAGAGGGAATCGATTATACAGAGATGTTTTCTCCTATATCTAAGAAAGATTCTCTTCGTATCATTTTGGCATTGATTGCTTATTTTGACTTTGAGTTGCAACAAATGGATGTAAAAATAGTATTTCTTAATGGAGATATGGAGGAAGAGGTTTATATGAAACAACCTGAAGGTTTCTCCTCTAGTGGTGAACACTTTGTTTGTAAGCTTAAGAAGTCTATATATGGTTTAAAACAAGCATCCCGTCAATGGTATTTTAAATTCTAAGAAGTGATTTCTTCATTTGGATTTGTTGAAAATCTCATGGATCAATACATATTCCAGAAGGTCAATGGGAGTAAAATATATTTTCTTATTTTATACGTAGATAATATTTTGCTTGCGACCAACGATAAGGGTTTGCTGTATAAGGTGAAACAATTCCTTTCTAAAAATTTTGACATGAAGGATATATGTGAAGCATCTTATGTCATTGACATTAAGATCCATAGAGATAGACCTTGATATATTTGAAGTCTATCATAAGAAACCTATATCGATAAACTTTTAGAAAGATTTCGGATGAAGGATTGTTCACCGAAGTGTTGCTCCCATTGTAAAAGGTGATAGGTTCAATTTGAACCAATACCTAAAGAATAAGTTTGAAAGGGAATCAATTAAAAACATCACATATGCTTCTGTCGTAAGAAGCCTTATGTATGCTCAGATCTATACTAGACATGATATTGCATTTATTGTGTGGATGCTAGGTCGATATCAGAGTAATCCAAGTATGGACCACTAGAGAGCTGTAAAGAAAGTGATAAGGTATCTACAAGGAACCAAATATTACATGCTTACATATAGACATACAGACAATCTGGATATGATTGGTTACTCAGATTCAGACTTCGTCGGTTGTGTTGATTCTCGTAAATCAACATCAGGATATATTTTTATGATGGCTGGTGGAGCTATTTCATGGAGAAGCACCAAGCAGACCTTGACTACTACTTCTATCATGGAAGTTGAGTTTGTCTTCTATTTTGAGGCTTTCACATGGTGTATAGCTTAAGAGTTTCATTTCTGGGCTTAGAATCATGGATTATATTTATAAGCTATTAAAAATTTTCTGTGATAATTTAGTTACTATCTTTATGGCTAATAATAATAAAAGTGAAAGTCGAAGTAAACATATCGACATTAAGTATTTAGCCATAAGAGAACGTGTAAAAGAAAAGAAAATGAACATTGAGCATATTAGTACTGAATTGATGATTGTTGATCGCTAAAGGCATGCCACCTCTGAAATTCAAATATTATGTAGAGAAAATGAGACTTGGTTCCACTTTGTAATTATATTAAAACTCTTATATATTATGAAATTTTCATATGAATGATAATACTCGCACTTAGAGGACTTATCGCTATGATTCATGTATTTATTTCTTAAGAAAGTTGTTCGATAAAGATTAATTCAAATTATTAAGCTAAACGTATAGATCAAGTGGGGGAATGTAATCGTTATTATTAAGTATTTTATTTAATAATAATGTAACTGTTCTCATTAAGTCAATCATTTATTATAATCAATTTTTTCATTTATTATGATTTAAATATTTTAGTTTTTTTTCTAAATATAACCATTATTATTAAATATTTAATATCATTAAGATTCTTTATTATGGTCCAAACATTGTAAATTTGAATTAATTCTTGAACGTTATGAGTTTGTGATAATAAATGTATGGGAGAACATTTATATAAACGAGGATTTTGGTCCCTAGGCTTAACATCTCTTTGAAGTCAAAAGGATTTCCTACACCATCTAAAGCGAGAGTTCTAAGTTGAGAAGTGCCAAAGTTCAAAAAGAAACTGCTGTAGAAATTCTTGACAACAATGGCTGTAGTTATGCTATTTCATTTTCGTGTTAGTTTTATTGTGTTTTTATTATAATGATTTAGAAACCCAATTTGGTATCAAAGATTTCTAATATTTTTAACTGTTACATTATTTTTCAATAATATTTATGGTATTTTATTAATATTCTAAGTATATAATAAATGTTATTAAAAAATATTGTAAGTGACACCATATCATGCATCTTTGATTGTCATTGCTTATAAATCATTACACTATCATATTTTTATACTTATAGTTAGTTGGTTTGATGTTACAAGTCTATTGATATCATTTAAGTATTTATATTTAAGCATTTTTTAAGAAAATATTTATATTTTGAGTATTTCTTAAAAGGTACTTCTTTTTTTAATAATATTTTTTAATCTAAAAATATATAAAATATCTCTCAAAAAATTTAGTCAAAATTTTCTACCCATTTTTTAACTATTACATTACCTTTCAATAGTATTTATGATGTTTTATTGATATACTAAAAATATTGTAAATGTTATTGAAAAATATTGTAAGTGACATCATATCTGCATCTTTGATTGTCATTGCTTATAGACCATTATAATATCATATTTTTATACCTATAGTTAGTTGGTTTGATATCATGAGACTATTTATATCATTTAAGTATTTTCAAGTAGGCTATATAATATTTTTATTATGATGGTCAAAATTTATAACAAATTTAAAATATTTAACATACCAAAATACTATAACATGCAAAAAGAATTTTAATGGGCAATTTGGATATCTTTTAATTTAGGGGTATTATTTGAGAAAAAGTAAAACGAGCGGTACCAATTGAAAAATACCCTACATATATACTTAACTTGAATTAAATTATTTGGAAAATGAGGATACTGAGAAGGTTGGAAATTCAAATATTTATGAAAGAAAAGGTTGGATATTAGGATCTTATTTAGAAAGAGAAAACAAATATATCTCGAATTTATATGATAGTACGTACAAAAAATTAGAGATCCAAAATTATTTAAATAGAAAAATACTTCTTATATTTTAGTTATTTCATATGGTGAACAACTGTAGGCGTAGTCAATGACGTGATCCTCCTTTCACACTCAAGTCAGGGCATTTGGTTCTATCATGGAGAAAATTGTCGAAGGGGATGAGAGAGAGAAGAGTCCTTTACACGGCCGGATGTTTTAGTGAGTGAAAGGAATATTAATTATTATGATTTGATAATGACATGACAAATAATTTGATCGAACCTCCACGACAAATACATCTAACAAATGAGTCTTTATCGGATGCGTGCAGGACAAAGCTTTGGGATTCGTGCGCATGCAGACGCGGAGACGTAGTTGGTGCGTCGCCCACTGACCTCAGGAAACATGGTTTGGAATGTTTGGTTGCAAGCTTCCTTTCACGAGTCCGATCGACAAGGGACCAATTCCTTCTATCTACCCGTCTTCACCACAATAAGATCCCAAATCCCAACTCCAGGATCGATCCCACATGACCTCCATCGCATTCTTACCTCCTACTCCCCCACCCACACTTGTTGTACTAAGATTCACTCATGCATGCAGTTGCACACGGCGTTCTTCGTTTTGCTTGTTAGATGCATGCCTCCTCCACAGGATGAGAACAGAAAGACGAAGGAATAAAGCTCAGCCATCGATCGAGCTGCTGCGGGAAGGAGTCGCTTCACAGGTCAGTAGTTTATGCCTAGATAGCGCTTCATCGTTCATCTTCATGGTGGTGTCGAGTAATGCTCGATCGTTTCAATGAATGATTCATGGTGGGTTTCCATACCATGAGAAGCTGCCATCATCAACGTGTGTTGTCATGCATTCATTCTTAGTCCATCAAACATGCAATTTATGATGGAAGATAGCAGGTCTACCCAAGAACAAGTCCTCTACGTGTATGTAGATCTTCTACCTCGGCTTAATCACCGGACCGTGCTGTCTCCTTCCGTCTTTTATTTGTTTTCTTGTTCTTTTTGTGGCGTAGAAGAAGAGAGAGAGAGAGAGAGTCGTGTTCTTGAAGGAAAATAAGTCTGATGTTGATCTTTAATACAAGTCAACGCTATTATTGCATTGTTGGCCTTTAGTTGGGACTCAATTGGTGAAGAGTTCAGATCGTATCTCATTCCAATAACTTCTTTGGTATACAATCCACCTTTGGATTTGACAGTGCATCGCAACCTAAGAAATTGGATCTTACTTCTTACTTCTGAATCCACACACATGCATTGTCAAATCCAAATTAAAAGGGATTCTCTAATCTCTTTCTACTTGTCTCATCTGTATCCTAAGCCTACATTTTTTGTGTTGGATTTTGATCAACCCAATCGAATCACCCACATGAAACACGACAATTTTGGATGGCATAATTTCCACAAGTAAACCTACAGTGCAGCAGTGTGGAATTCATAGACGCAACCACCGGTCAGACTTGAGTTAACCTAACAGTCTTTAAGACTAGGAATAGAATACCAAATGGTTTTCCGAAACAGCGGCGATGGATCGCTGAATCGGTCAAGTTTGAGGGTAGCAACATTGCAATGACCACCATAAATCTTCTCGACTGATGAAGGAATGTGTCTATATGGACTACAAATATAGATTTGATCTCACATCGGAAAGGGATATAGATTTAAATTGGAAAATATTATTAACTTGAACTTAAATATTTAAATATTTATTTGTACTCACAATAATGGTTTTTATATTAGTCCCACAAATAATCTAATGACTTGAAGGTTTGTTAGGTCACAACTTCGTCAAATTGTGATACTAACCTATATACAATTGTTAAGTTAGATTTTGTTTGTTCGAAGTTACGGTCGATTCAAATCTCAAGTTGGACTTCACTAATCTGATCCGAACTATTCAAAATTGCATTAGAGCATTCCTTACGATGTCCCTCCGATACTTAAATTAGTAAGTTAGTCAGACAAGTCAGATTATTTCTAAGATCAAAGCTGTGTTTGGAATGCACTTGATAAACTCTTTTATACTGAGTTCTAAGAGTCGTTACTTCTGCACGATGCGCGGCTCATAGGAATTGTGGTATGTCGATCATAGGTGTAAGTATTGCTATTTTGCATCAATCCGAAATGAGATCGTGGTCAGATATGTGGCATCGATCAAATGATGAAGGGATAGTTGATTAGTTGTCTAGGATTGATGTCATGGTGTCAATTACTTGGCACCATTGTGTCGACTACTTGACACTAAAATATTGGGCACCTCATTTTGCTCTAAAAATATTTAAATTGGGTGCATGTATCTGATAAATATAAAAGATATGAACACATTATGTATGACTAATTATACATATTATCTAAAAGAAACATTTAATAAGTATAATGAATACATTGGAGAAAAAGGTAGAATTATATTCCTTCTAAACTATAATGAGTAAATCGAGGTAAGACAACCACCATACCCAGTGCAAAAGCTTCTCTAATGTACTTGTGGTCTAAATCTCCTAATAGTTAAGACACAACAACAAAACCTTATGAATTAAGAAGATGTCTTGGAGACATCAAGCTTTGCTTGGATGAAATGTATACATACATTGAGCTCTAATGTAACACTTTTGTTTCATAGGAAGTGACTAATTGATAAGTTTATTACTTAGATTTAAATATTTTAGATTAGTAGTTCAAGCTTAGGCTTAATAAGTTAACAAATCAATTATTCCATTAGTTCATATCATAAACTAGTAGGCGGAGTCGCCCATATCGAACCATCATATAATGATTTGATGAGTGTCATACTAATTTCTTCACACAATTATGATAGGCCTAATCATCCCATCATTTCCTTCAAAAAAATAAATATGGAAGAAAACTATCAAAATACACTACCCAGCATCTAAGTAGGGTTGATGCAGGTGCATTTTAGTTTATATAGTATTTGAATAAATTTTATTAGTCTAGAGATATTTTGTATAAGTTTTTATGTGACAACATCTATTAAAAAAATAAATAAATACAAAAAAAGAAGAAATTAGATTCATTCTTGATTTGAAAATGAAAATTTTGATTGAAGATTCATCTTTATATAAATTAAATTTTATCAATCAATATCATCAAGATAGGAGGATTACACTTCAGAATTATAATCTTCTTCATGAGGAAGATATTATACATTTGATTTGATATGATTGTGATCTTTATTTATGAGGAATAATCCATAATTAATGGCTCATCAGTGTGCTGTGTCTATCATGCAACATGTACTAAAACACATTAAAGGCTCAGATTCATGCATAGCTAGTCCCCTTCAAGAGAAAATGCATGAAAAAACATGTTCATAAATACATTGCTTCATGCACTACATATGATTTCTGAAGTAAATTAAGAAAAAAGGAAGTAGCAAATTGAGAAACCCATTGGAATAAGGACACAAATATAAATTTAATGTACATGCTGATAAATTTTCTAGTGTCACAAAGAATACATCATATAAACTCTAAAGTGTGTGTGTGTGTGTGTGTGCAATGTTAGGGGAAGCAGCTGCCTGTTTGTTGAATGGCAAAGCAAAACATATTTCGATTAACTGAATAAATACAATAAATTAAGTTGCATAAGAGATCCAAGAACTTAATTATTACAAACTCTAGTAAACATATCACTCGAGTTCATCTTCTTTGCTAGCAGTAATACTCATGATCAAACCCAAACTGCTACTCAAGTTCTTAGTTACACAACATAAATATATAGCTTCGTAATCTATAACCAATTAATACTTGCCTGCATGATCGGCAAACTGCTCGTGGACATCTTCCTCTATACCAGTCTGAGCCATAAGGTCATCTTCCCAAAAGGTTCCGAGTTCATACGCAGGAACCGAGGGCGCAGTGTAGGCATATGCTGCAGGTACCACTCTTTGGTTACTCCCATCGCTGTTATTGCTTCTGCTGATGTCGTTGTTGTTCTCGTCGTCGATTATGTCATTGTGCTGCGGCTGGAAGATGTCGTCGTTGATCAACGAGTCAAGGAAGGAGGAGAAGATGTCATCAGTGTAACACTCTATCCCTATCCCTCCATCTTCGCCGGCATCACATTTGCCTCCTTCTTGGTCTAATGGCTTATCAACAGCGCACTCGTTGTTCTTCCATCCATCACCATCGTCATTTTGCTGCAGGTTCAGCGTGTCGGAGAAATTTTTCTGGGTATCCTCTGCTCGGAGGAGGGTGGGAGCGGTGCTGGGGATTGCGCTAGGGTTAGGGTTACGGTATAGCTGTGGTGAAATAGGCTGGTGGATGGCGTCAGCTACGGAAGTGGCCAGTGGTTTGTGGTTGCGGGGATCTATGCCTTGCCTGACGAGCTTTTTGCTGAGGTGGGTGTTCCAGTAGTTCTTGATCTCGTTATCTGTGCGCCCAGGAATCCTCCCGGCTATCAAAGACCACCTGCAGGTAGAACAAGAAGATCAAATCGAAGGCACGACGAGGAAACCCTAGAGGTGGGGAGATCGAAGCGGTTGGTGGTGTTTGATGACCTGTTGCCGAGGAGGCGGTGGAGGCGAAGGATGAGGTCTTCCTCGTCGGGGGCGATGGGACCATGCTTGATGGAGGGACGGAGGTAGTTCATCCAGCGGAGGCGGCAGCTCTTGCCGCAGCGGAGGAGCCCGGCGCGCTTGGGCAGCGTCCGCCACCGCCCCTCCCCCTCCCGCCGCACGAAGCTCGCCAGCACCTCGTCCTCCTCCGACGTCCACGGACCCCTCTTCAGGCCCACTTTGCCGCAGCACGGCGTCGGCCCTCGTCGCTGCTTGTCCTCGACCTCCATCGCCGCCATCGTCGACGAGCCTGGAGCTGATGACTGTGAGGGCTTCCTCATCTCTCTCTATCTACTCTTTGCTGTGTCTCCTGGATCTGTCTCTCTCTCCCTCTTGCTCTCTTTTTTACTTCTGATCTCGAGCTTTCTTTAGGGCAAAGGATTACCTTCGGTGGTGTACCAATCAAACATGGTGGGAGCCACGAGGCCTGCGGCGTGGCGACCGCACCTGTATCAGCTAGCACAGTATCGAAGGAAGCGTAGTTGGCGACGAATCAGCTTTGACCTCAATCAACCTATTTATTATTATTATTATTATTATATTATTATTATATACTATTTAGATTAAAAGTACTAAGTAATTTAAGATATAAGGATCTTAATTTAGATATATCATAATCTTTTATTTCAAATTTGATAGATTTATAGCTCCGTGACATCGCCGTGACCCTTCCACACTTCCATTTGAAGTCAATGAGGTATGACTTCGTCCCTTTGTTGTAGCTTCAATCTGCCACAGAATCTGCAGTGAACAGGAGAAAGGTCGCCGAGGTCGTCGTGTCCACTTGATGAAGCTAATATGGATGATTGATGTACAGATGTTGGATCCATTGGGCCACATAGCAGCCTGAAAATTATCCTCGGCCTGAAAGGAAATAACTCCAGTCTGATGTGTACATCAAACCGAGCATAAGAACAATTGATGCTAATAATACATGAGTGCTCTCATGATCAGACACCATGATATCCAATCTCTATAGCCACTGAATCTAATATGCTTCCGTCTGATGTCATGAAGCCTGAACCATTTGCCTGTTCTGGTGCAAACCAGTTTGCCCACTGGAACCAAAGTCAAAAGCCATGCATGTATGCGAAGAGGATGCGAAGAGGCTGGAGGTAATATATATCACACAGGAGAGACTAACCGATGATCTACTTGAGTGCCTAGCAATTGACGCCATGTTAACACTAGCCAATTTGGATTCGGATACCACAAAGGAGACTGGATGAACAACGGTCCAAGTTGTCTTCACGAGAGAGACTGGAATGATTGTGTGTGGCCTTCCATCATTTTGCATGTGAGAGAAATAGCTAGGAACACGTGTGACTGCCCTCATGGATCTTGCGGTGGAGGACTCTCTCTCTCTCTCTCTCTCTGCACCGTGAACTGGGTTCTCATGGCTCCCACTTCAAGATAATGTTCTCTTTCCATCCACAAGACTCTCATGGTCTTTCTTTATGAGGCTGCAGGTACTACCAACCTCTACCACCACCACTTCGGCTGCACTAGTCCTGCTCTTAGTTCTTCTCTCCGATTCCAAGCAGAGGTGTGGACAAAGAAGACCCCACTTTGGATTGCACATGGTTGGGTTATCGCACCGATGTGATCCACCCTACTGGCAAGTCCTTTTAGAAGGCTTTGCATGAGTCATCGTACCCTTTACATTAGTGCCCATTTTGCGTGACCATCTCAATTTACACCCCACCAATTATTACTCCAGGAAACATCAACTCGTACTTGCCAAAGAATTTTATGTGGGAAGGACATGGACGGCTGCGGGTGTCTCTTCCCTTCTTCCCATTCACTTCGTGGCTAAGGAATCTGTTCCTCCCGAATGAGGCCACAAATTGACAGGATATGGTGTTTTACTTTTGCGTCATGCTTTGGTACATTGCATGTCAAATTGGATATGCTGCGTCGATGAATCTTATTTTCATGACAGGATATGGTGTTTTATTTACCTCACTAAATGCTAAAAAGTCGGCACTAAACACATAAATAGTAATGATATGGATAATTTTATCACATACCAGGTTATTAGTCACGGAAATAGATACCTAATTAGGATTTTGAGTCATTCCTCAATCTGCATGCATTAATGGCTAGCGACATAACACAGCAATTCTTCCTATTAAATGAAGGAAAGGAAGGCCATTTCTTATTTGTACCAAAGAAGAAATGGAATATGATCACAGGGCGATAGCTCCGAGAGTCGTTCGACTGTATTCCACCTTAATTTTCTTGTCTCATCAGGATCATTAGAGGACAAAAGGATAGAAAAATATTTCTACTATCATGATCAGTCAGTTAACTTGATCGTATCTTCAATTAATCGAAGCTACTCACGACTCACGCTAGGGGACCCTATACACTCATTCCATAGTATAACTTATATATATATCCCTCTCGCTCGCACTAACCTAAGTGTTGGAGAGGTCAAGCCAGGAGGCCCTCGGGTGTCGACCTGTCATGCAGATCCGTTAGCACCCAGGAGATAATCTTACTATGGGAAGGTGACTCGATAGGCGGGAAAGGACATATAGCTAAAAAAGCCTCAATCAGCTTCCCCAACAAGCGACCTTCCATGCGAACCTCTTGCATTGATTTGTTATGTCAACAACCTACATCAGTATAGAGGAGATACAAGAATGGGTCGACTCACTGGTCAACGATATTCATGACATAATCAAGTAACAAATCAAAAATAATAATACTTCATGTACCAAAAATAGATGATAATTATAGCCATTTGCTATGGAATATGTTAATTATCTATCGAAAACAATAGTCAAAGGACCTTGGCGAAGACCAGGTCAACGGCTTTGGTTGGTTTAGCTCTCCCCAGCCTCACATTCCTAATCAAGTCAACCGAACAGCGCAAATGTAATCCACCGAGAGATATCATGAGATTTATTGTCCGCGATCGCTTAATGTGGCCCAAAATAAGTAGGCACGATCACGTGAGCGGCATCATGTGATCCACATAATTTTGGACAGTGGTGATGGTTCACGAAATGGACGGCCGAGCTTTCCCCGCTCGCCCCGGAGTCTCGGCTTTCTCGTAATTATGGTCAATAATGCGGGGAGTTATAAAGGCAAGTTAGAGGTTGCCTTCTGGTTTGCGTGCTTCCAATAACCGATACAGCGTTTACCGAGACGCAGCAGACGCGACGAGATTTTGCTGCTGGTTCGCTCGATCGCTCGCTCTTCGGGAGGCGTGGGAGTGGTGGAGGCGCGGCCTCGAAGGGCTCCGGCCATTGAGCGGTTGCGGAGGCGGGCGGGGCGAGATGACGAGGCGGTGCTCGCACTGCAGTAACAACGGGCACAACTCCCGCACGTGCCCGGCGCGCGGGGGCGGCGTGCGGCTATTCGGGGTGCGCCTGACGGACGGCGTGGGGACGATGAAGAAGAGCGCCAGCATGGGGTGCCTCTCCTCGGCGGCCGCCCTATCGACCGTCGGCGCGTCCCCATCCGCAGATCCGGCCGGTGACCACCCCGACGCCGCCGCCGCTGCGTCCGGGTATGCCTCCGATGACCCCGCCCACAGCTCCTGTTCTTCCGTTTCCCGCAAGAAAGGTCCGATTTTTCCCCTAAAGTTTTGATTTATTTTATTGTTTCTGAATGATTATTCTTGAAAGATCGTCATTTTCGTCCTCTGTCATCGTCTGCTGTCGAATCTGTTGCCGCTAATGTGTGCATGTCTCTGTTTCTGTGAGATCACTACACATGTCATCAAACTTCTTCATTAATTATTTTTCTTCTGATTTTTTCTCTTAAAATAGAGATCTTTTGTTATACCTCTGAGAATCTAAGTCTACTACATAGAAAATCTGACAGATCAGATGTCCTCTAGAGAATCAAGATTTTTATTTTGTTAAGGATGTAAATGATTCTATCTGTTTGTTCTACTGTGCAATTATGAGATGCATTTAAGGAATTAATTTTTGACTGAGATTGCTTTCTCATAGAAGCTTGATAGATATTGTTTACTGCCAGTATCTAGTGATCTGGCTTTCCTTGTATGCATTGGTGGTGTGGAACTGGCCAATTTTGTCAACAACATTAAGGGTGGCCCCTTAGAATGGCATCCCCTGAGTTTAGTGATTGATAGTCCGATGAAATATGGTCCACTGGGTATATTTTCATTTTGTGGTGGAACTGATGGAAGAGTCTTAATCAATGGGCCAATAGCTTTACATTTGATGGAATGCGCGTGACATCATGTTTACCTAGGAGTTCTCTTCTTTACTATCCTGGTCAAACTGTTATGTCCATCTCATTTTTGGACAGCTTGTGATTTCTCGTGATCATCCATTATATTCTTCACTGCGTTATTCTGTTCTGAGAATTTCCAGATATCATTTTTATTTTCATTTATTACTGCCCATATTTTAATGTGGTTGTTATCATGCTTGGCTTGGCAGACCATTACTTGCTTGGAAAAGAATAAGCAAATTCTCATGGGTTCAATTAATTACTGCTTCTCTTATAAGATATTTAATTTATTTTCTTTACGATGAATTGAAAGATAGTTCTGAGGCTAAAAGCAACCTCTTTAGACCGATAATATAAAATCCTATGAATCATAAGCTTAATCTAACCACCAAGTCAAGTTCAATATTCTTGGATGGTCTCTGGTCGATTGTCAATGTTTTCATCAAAATGTAGATCATCAACAATCTTAGCTTTGTCTAATGTGATCCTTTTTTCTTCTGAATGTATCGTTTTATCCAAGTAGGTGTAGTGCCACTTGGATCTTGTGCAGCTTACTCGATTTGCTTATAGATTGGCTTATTCCTTATCTTATAAATGCATAGTCGGTCAGTAGTAGTCTTATCATCAATGATGATAATCTTGGAAGCTTTATTGTCGAATATCTGGTAGCTATTTTTGGCTTGGGATGTGAGATGAATACACAATTTTCTCTAATAAATTAGAAAAACTAATTATTTTTTCTCGGATTGAACGATTTTATTCACTTATATTCAGTTTTTTGTGATCATTTCCTTCAAAGGTGAGTCGGGACTATGTTGTACTAGGTGGTTTAGATTTGTTATGGCTTGTTCTAGTTGATATGATGATGCCCATGAACTGAAGTTTATTGCTCACTGTCAATTGACCAATTTTCTTTGGCACGAATTGATCTTTGGCCAAAAATATGAATTTTTACATCTAAATTCAGTTCATTGTTACCCACATACAACCAATGAATTGGATTTGCAGGTGTTCCTTGGACCGAAGAAGAGCATCGGATGTTCTTGCTGGGTCTTCAGAAACTGGGAAAAGGTGATTGGCGTGGAATAGCTCGGAACTTTGTTGTGTCTA